ATTAATAAAAACAAATCAGTACTGTATTTAAATGTTGTTGACACAATGGAACCCCTTCCAAGTGTTATGAACTATTAAATATTTGAGATTAAGGTTGTGATTACTGAACATGCTTTGTGGGCATCTCATATACTACTCGTGGGCTACCAAGTGCCTTCAGGCACCGCGTTGGAGACCTGTGGTTTAAATAAAGTAGAGAAGAAAAAACGGATTTACACCCTTTTTCATGTAAAGTTGAAATCAACATTTGGAGGTACCCTGTCGTGCAATTGTAAAAAAGTGGTTTCAGACATAACTGTGATGTTAGAAATTAATGAAAATTTTCATCTTGACATAGTTTGAGCATAGCGGCAGTTTTTAGTGTGAGATTTACGTTCCAGAGTCAAGTGCACAAAGGCAGGTATGTAGACACTTCACTACTGTCTGCAGTCAGAAACCACCATCATTCCCATAATCACAACCTAAACCTTCATCTGTTCATACCATCTTCTCATGCTGCAAACCTGGCGAAAAAAATTGTGCACACTTCTATCTCGCCATGAACTTTGTGTGACAGAGAAAGAAATGCAAACCGGTTACCTCCACTCTTGCCATGGCAACGGACGCGACAAGAAAAGCGATCCTGTACCTGTGTATCTGTCTCCCTAATGGTCTGTGTGTTAGTGTAACAAGATCTGTAAAAACTCCCCTCAATGACATTTTAGATCCCCCACTGTAACTGACCTGGGCTGGGGAGTCACAAGTAGGATTTAGGTGAGTACTGAGCCTTCTCTCAGGTTCCTGTTCCCCTTTTCCTAATGAATTCAACCATAAGAAGACTTGAGATGAGGCCCCTTTTTCCATATGGCCAGGATATTATTTACTCTTGTATGAGCTGTGTAAAATCTCATTAATTCAAAAGAAATATATACTTTCCTCACCTCATGTATGTTTGTAAAATCTTTCTAAATAGATGCTCTTACTCATGTTTTGGTTTAACATACAAATGAGAATCTATAGTGTGTTCACCTTTTTCCCTTTTGGGAAGAAAAGCTCTCATTGAGAATGCTGTGGGGTGACTGCTGAAGTGTCCTGCATTATAGCACCTTGCAGCTTCACTGTTGGACTGCACCACTCGGACCACTCCTAACTCTCCTATTCCCTCTGCTGGGAAAGGCAGATATTACACACCCTAAACTGAGTACAGAACATAGACCACAGTAATTACTTTTATGTTAAGCATCATCTCTGTATTGAGAGCCCGAGATGACCCACGTTGTGTCCGGGCTTCATTCCAGTCTGCTGCTTTCTCTGGGAAGGCCTAGTCTAGGTGAGAGCCTCGCTGACACCCCTCTGTATGAAATATCAATGTGAATGACTCACTCCCAAGTTTTGGTGTCAATCATCATCGCAAATGCCAAACCCATTATCACCAAATCTTTTGAAGAAGTTGTTTTGTCCATCTGGTGGCAGAAGCAGCAGGCTTTTTTGAAAGAGAGGGAAGGTTTTCACAACATTCAGGGCTTTTGAAGAAGCTTGTTTTCCCTCTGGGTGAGGGGACTAGATTTTCAATTTACCTTATAAATGACCTTGTAAACATCCAGTTCTACATTTTTGGTTGCACACACTTAATTTTTTTGCTTAGTTTATTTGGTGTGTGAGTGAGTGAAGGGGGTGAAACTTGTATTAAACCCCATAAAGATGGACAGTGTCTGTGCTCAGTACAGCAGTGATACAATTGTGAATGAATATACAGTATTTTATTTCCAACCAACCGCCTCTAAGAATATTGAACACCGGTGTTTTATCATTTGCACATAATTTGACATAAATAAGCTTTACCTTTGTTCTGTTGGCCACAGCTTCCTCAAGATGTGACAAAACATTGTTGTGACAAGTGCTGCACACTCCAGTATAGGACTAGTTTGTCTCCTGGTTGCTTGTGTCGACTGTTTCGATAAAAGCCAGCCTACTTTGCTGTTTGTGTTTCTGTTTTCGTTTTCCTTTTTTGTATTGAATAGCACAACAGGCAAGTTCATTATGCGTGTGACTCATCCCACTAGCCCACACCCCCTCCCCATCTGCTGCTGTGCGCTGGAAAGGAGAGGGAACCGCCATTGATCACTTCTTCCCTCACACATGCACACACACCCCACCTTCAACGTCACTATCGATCGACATGTTTAATGTTTTTGTGGGGAATAGCTGGCATTTCCTTTTGTGTCATTTTACATCTGTTCCCTACCATTTGCTGACATTATGATAAATCGCAGAGCAGAAATTTGAAAAAAAAAGTAAAGCTTAATCCAACAAAATATTTAAACAATCTCAGACTGTACAGTCAGTGCATGGCTGCCATTTGTTTTTGTAGTAGTGACAGTCTAGAAACATATAAGGAAATATGCCTGGACAGGAGCTTTTTTTTCTGCTTTGCAAGTGTTAACCCATGAATACAGCTGAGGTTACAGCTACCTGACTAACAACAAAGATGCTGTGGCAGAATGGTTGGCAGGTATTGGACATTTCCTTGAGAAAACATTTTCCCACTCCCTCCTTGTCATGATATGATTAATAAAAAAAAAAACCAAACGTGTTAAGTCAGTTAATGAATTCCTGTAACACACTACAACAGTGACATGCAAATACAAAATATTCTGAAGAAGTTAATTACACATTTATTAACATGCTAATTCATTAATACAAAGTGTGTGCTACACAATTCAGGGTAAAGATAAACTTTTCAGCTTTCACAAAAACACTATGTTTGAAAGACACACAGTGAGAGCTAACATCCAATAGTTTCAAAATTGAATTTTAAAATAATATGTTAAAAACAGAAAAATTTCTACATTTTAAATCAACATCTAACCTTATTAAAAAAGTTATTGGTAAAAATACATCATAGATATGGTGCCTCATGCAATGTTTTGGTGCCGTGTATCAAAAATTCTGTTCATCACTGTAAGCAATTGTAGCAACATCTGCCACCAAAACAACAACACATGAAAAGACCAGCAATGCAGAAACGGCATTCATTTTTAGATGGGAATCAAAACCATTTTTTTTTATTTTTTCTGAACTAACTGCTCTCCCATGGTTGCCTTACATTTCAGTTTTCTTACTTTTCACACTGAGGGTCCTACTGCAATCACTCGAGCGCAACAAGTGCAGAGTGGTAGTAGGTTTTGCACGGACCGTGTGGGCATCTCCAAGCCATGTGTGGGCATCATGTTTGTGCACCGCGGCACCAAAATACCACACAGACAGAGAAAAAAGAAAATTTCAAGGTCACAGTGCTTGCACTGGCCATTGTGCTACCATGAAAATAGGGCACTGAGAGGAAGGGTTTAGCTAGCATGTTGTTGGGTAGGCTGTCACTAGGGTGTCACTGAGTGGTATTTACATTTTTAAGGGAAAAATCTGGTTATTGGGGGCATTTTTAATACATATTTTGCCCAATCCATGTGTGCCGTAGAGGGCAACGGACACGGAAAGTATAATTTTTGCTTACAGGTCCAATGTGGAGGATTTAGTGGCATCTAGTGGTGTAGTTGCAGATTGGAACTCACTCGCTTCTCCCTGCCTTACCAAGAGCGAGGGAGAAACTACAGTGCTCGCAAAATTAATTAATCAGAGCCGCAAGATCAGGAAAAGAAGCCCCTGAATTTTTATAAGTAGCACAAATTGAGTGAAATGCCTCAGTCACAGTCAGGGCAGGATGTGGAAGGAAAAACTCACTCCCTCACTACTCTGGTGGTGTTTCAGATCAACAAGTGTCCTCGTTAACTGGTGACCTTAGGCTGAATGTGTCCAGGGTGTCTTGAAGTGATGGCGTTGGGTGTGCCTATGCCACATTCACGTCACATGGGATGTACATGCAGTGTATATGACCTTTTATCTTCTCAGATAATCTCATGGATTGAATTGAAAGAGAGTCAGTAGAAATGGGAAAGATTCCCATTTTAATGACTTGCGATTGTTCACGAGTGTTGTGTGATTACAGAGTTGGTTGTGTGAGGATTAAAATACGGAGCATTAACATAATAACACCATGTCTGAATGAATTTTGGTTCACTCGCACTGAATTGTGGTCTTTGGCTGATGTGAAGCATCCCTATTCATTTGGTTTTCAGGCCCTCCTGTAACACATTTCACATTACACATAGTTGGATTCACAGTTCACATAAAAATATTGATTAGAACGGCTTCAACTGATTTCAGATATTGATTCTGAAATAACAATGTTTAGTTCTGGTGAGGGTTGAAGCCAACAAACCTGAGACCTAAGTAAGGATGAATAATGATTTTGTAGGTCTACAGAAACACTGCTGTGGGACTGTGGGACAAAATAAAGTAATGGAAATAATTAACATTTGCCAGAACTTGCAAGACATTATGGCTAATTTAAAGAATGATTAAACAAATGCTGGCCCTGTCATGTTTGTGTCAGTAGAGTTTTTTTTTCCTTTTTACAGATGAACTGTTCCTATAATTAATTTTTAATCTGTCACAGCCTTTTAAAATGCAAAGGTCAGAACAAAATAACAACATAAAAAGAACTCTGAGAGGATGTTTGCCTATCATACAGGAATTTGTAGCTATTAAGCAGAATATTGTAATAATATATGTTCATTAAGCATTTTATCATCAGTCCAGACATAATTTTCATAGTATTACAAACAACAATTGGCTAGGCACTAAGGATGCAAACAATTTAGTATAATTTTGCAGTTATGCAAGATTTATACTTGAAGTATGATCATCACATTGCCATTTTTCAAGTACGAAGACAACCCTCTTCATCAATTCTATCTATATATTGAGCAGGTACCTTAAACTTACAGGCCTATCTGCAATTTTAAATTAATTTCAGCTTAAAAATAGTGCACCACTGTGACTTAAACTCTTAAATGAAGAATTAACATTGTGATGATAAGATGATGATGATGATGATGATTAATAGTTTATACGGAGTCGTGGTGTGAGAAGAATGTGTTGTTTTCTTGCTTTCTCGCATGTAGGTGGTCCTGGACATGACATTTGGAGGTGGTGGTCATACCAAAGCAATACTGAATCTGGTTCCTGAAGTCACAGTCCTGGCCTTAGACCGAGATCCTACAGCAGTTACTCTGGCCGAGCAGTTAGCCAAGGAACACTCGTAAGTGATTTATTGAAAAATGTCAACTAGACTAAAACACAAGTTAAAGCTTATGTTATAAGCTGTCTAGACAAATGTTTATACTATATCATGTTTTTGCCATACGTTTTTATAGTCACTGCTGACAGCTTGACCATTTTGAGCAGTGTTTGGTTTGTGGTCATTATTTCTTAAAACGTATGTGTTTGTGATATAGTATTGCAGTTCTCCCTGTATTTCTCAGTTCTTGCCTGAGCCTGATCAAATACTCCTCCCCAAGATACAGCCCCTGAGTTTCACCATCCAATCAAATCCATTCCTCTTTCTTAACTTAAAGCTTTTCTCCCCCCACGCAAAGCTGGTGGGCCCGGCATGTCATTTGTCAGAGTAAGGGCCCACGCCTGCAGTGTGAGGGAGATGCTGCCTCCCACGGAGGATCTATAAGATATGAAGGGGGGAGGGGGGGGGGAAGAGAGAAGCCCAGAGAAGTTAAGAAGTGGAGAGAGAGAGAGAGAGATTAAAAAAAGCTAATGAAAACATGAGAGTGAGAGAACAGGGAGACACGAGGACACAATGCCAGGGTGAGAGGGAGTGTGTGTGTGTGTGTGTGTGTGTGTGCGCGCATGAGCAAGGCGCGGGAGGATGAAAATGAGATGTTCCTAAGACCATGGCGTGGGAAGGAATCCTTTTACGTAGATTCTGGGGAAACCTCTCTCAAGGGAATCTGCCAGAGCAATGTGCCTGTGAGCAGGGAATGACAATTAAGAGAGAGAGCGAGAATGAGAACACTGTATTCTGTCAGCAGCAATATACCCCTGCTGTAAACTCTTCCACGCCTACTCGTGATGCAAGTTGAGAGAAGCTAGAGAAATCTAGCAATTAACCAATATTATTGGAAGCCTGAGTAAAAGACCCTGGCAGCCTACGCAGTGCATCCACACAACAGGGTTAGAGGGTTTTCTCTCTCCTCTGCACTCTCGTGTCTTGAGGAAAGTATAACCTCAATGCAAACTGTTGAGTGTTGGTGTGAATCTGAACCCACATTCACAGAACAAAAAGACTCATTTCACCCCCCTAACGTTTATTTAAAAGCATTAAGCTTATGAAAGTAAGCCTCTGTTCCCTGAATGATATTCACCCATGTCTTTAATGGGATTTGTCTCCGGCATGTTGAGCCTTGCTATTCTCTGCTTTTCACCATTCTTGTTGTTGCTATGACTTCCCTGCGCTTGAAGCTCCACAGTAGTTGTGCCCACAATAAATGTTATAAATCTGAAAAGGCAGCAAGCATTATTGAAAAGCCAAGTCAGGCAAACATTGGTTTTACACATGTGCATAGGGGGTCACACAAATTGGTAGGATTTTAACAGTTTTAAATGCACTATGCACCTTGTTGATTTTACCTCAAGTGCCATGTTGGCTATCACATCAGGATTGTAGAATCTGAATAATTTGGTACATGAAGCCTAATTTGTTACAATTTACCTATACATATTCATCCTCTGTCTTCTTTTGGTTTATTTAAAAATGTTTAATTCTCTATCTTATAACACACTGCATGTGTTTTCAGGAATGTTATCACTGACTATAGTTTGTCTATCCTAAGGTTGTAATTATTTCCTGTTTTTGTTATTGGGTTCATTGTTTCACATTGTTGTGTCTTGTATTGTTTTGTTTTCTGTTTGTTCTTGTTCTTGGGACCCTCTTGAAAATGAGATGATGATGGGGTTTCATCCTGAGATAATAGTGAGGATTTAATAACATTGTAGTAAATGATTCTAACATGACAATCAGTTGACAATTCATCCAGTCTGGCTTTGTTTCCATAATAGCCCATTTCTTGTGAAAGGGGTTCTTTCATTTTGTTTTGTCCTAACCAATCAGTTGCAGGGGATGTATTAGTCCAATTACAACCACTTCTACAGCCGTGTCGAGGTCACTCACACCTTTTACCACTAGTTTTCATTGACTGGGATAAGGTAGCTAGCTAAGTAGGAAGATGACAATGCCATTCTTTGAGCAGGGATTCAGTCTGAAAACAGCCCTGTGTTAAAACAGCGCCAGAGGGGTTCAATGGTGGGGGCTGTGTTGCTTAGGTACATATCAATGCGTTTAAAGTTATCGTGATGGCAAGTACTTTATCTTTCGTCATGACAATAGTGATGTAAAAAGTAGAAACACAGCGTTCACATTACAAAGTAATCCACCAGGAATGTGCTCTTTCATGTATGGGATTGGCCGACGTCGTGCCTCGCTGCCTTGTGCAGAAAAAGTTTAGCCTTATTCAACTTAATAGAACAGTGTTAACAACCTCAAGGTACCCAATAACAAGAAATCCATGTGGCTAAAGTTGTTAAAATGTCGATTATAACATACAAGCAGTGAAACTACAGGAGAAATCCATCGATACCTGAACACATCCACCTCATGAGGGGCTAAACAAGGTCTGTGTTTTCCCCTTTATATGTGTATTTGTGGCAGAGAGGAGGAGTGACATTTTTTTTAGCAACGCCAACAAGCTGTTTAATGTTACACATCTGCTCAAAGCTATACAGTTCTTTTTAAAACACTCAACTGAGTTTAATGAGTTTGTTCATGGTTTTTTTTTTTATGGTAAAAAAAACGATCCAATTCTGCTGTTCTCTCAATTCTAACTAGTTGATTATTAACCTCAATCAGTCAATCACACATCACAAATGACATCCAGGGAAGTGTAGATTTCCATATTTGGAAACATTTCTCATCTGTAAAAATTAAAGTGGAGAAACAGCAGGGAAGTTACTGACGATTTCTAGAGACAATGACAAGGCCACCACTGAGTCAACAGACATTTAGTTACAAATTCCCAATTTTACTGTAGCTTTAATAGTAAATAGATTAGTCTCAGGGTTCTTTTATAACCTTCCTTAAGCCTGCTCAAAATGAAATTTTAAACAAAACACATTTTTAAAGACTAGCCTGTGTGTGTGTGTGTGTGTGTGTGTGTGTGTGTGTGTGTGTGTGTGTGTGTGTGTGTGTGTGTGTGTGTGTGTGTGTGTGTGTGTGTGTGTGTGTGTGGGGGGGGGGGCCTGTGTTTGTAGGCTCTTTTCTTTTTTTTTCTTCACTGGACTGTAGATATTTTCATCACTGCTCCCCTGCTGAAAGCAATCAATCAGCATCTTGTCTTAGGCTTCAGTGACGCAGGTAAAGGAACTGAGCAGGTCAACACAAGGGAATATTTCAGGCTTGATTTGTGAAGAGGCAGCATCATGTTGAACGAGCAAGCGCTCAAACTGAGGCTGCTGTGAAGGTTCCTGATGTCCTCACTGAATGTACCGAGTGTTATTCCAGATGGACAGGAACAAGTGAATGCAAGGAAATATTCAGTGCGGGGATGGTTTGTGAGGAAATTCTAAAGTGTAGACAAGTATTATGTTTAATGCAAAGTGAAAAATGTCTTGGTTGGTTGGATGGTTCATTACTGACCTTTTTAGAAAATGCAGTGAATTGTGTTTAGTGAATAGCTGTTAGCTAACTCTGCTTCTCTCAGAGTACAGCTGAGGATGATGGCAATGTCATTATGCCAGTATTGGGTCATAAAGTAAAGCATTAAAAATGTTTTTTTTTTTTTTTTTTTTTTACCTGGTGATGGTGCAATATGAGCAGTTAAGGTATCACCAAAGTTATTACAGTTCATCCTGAGGGGAACATGAATGTACCAAGTTTCATTGCAGTCCACCCAATAGTTGAGGCCTGTTACATAAAACTACACACAACACATAAACATCATGGTGGCGCTAGAGGGAAAGTCAGAGGATCATCAAAGTCATTCATTCTTCATATCTATGCCAAATGTATTGTCAATTCATTTTAAATGGTAATAATAATATTAAATAGTTAAACACTGTGGACAGTGTTAGACCAATGACCCACAGACCGACACTGCCATGGTGTGGCTATAGAAATATAATTCAGACAATTCAAATGTCAGTTGGACTTTATTTAAACTCATAACTTTTAGTTTTACCTGATACATGGTCTCTTCACTGTGAGAGAACATGTATTGGGAAGTTAAGATAAGTGGTCGGCTTCACCATTGGCTCTTAATCTTAATCTCACTGGCAGGTCACATGTCCTGTGATTCAATCTGCAAAGCTTTAGACTGTCTCTGTTTGAGCTTTGGGAAAGTTGTATTCAGTGTTAAGTTGATCCTGTAAGATGCCAGAATAACAAAAAATTGCATGATGTCAATGTTGTGGGGTGCCTGACTATAAATAGCTCAGATCTCTTAAGCAATTATGAGCCCACACTTGGACCTCAGCACATACACCACTGAAACTTGTCCTTTTTAATAATATAAGACCTTACATAAGGCATTTATATCTCCAACTCTGTGTCTAAGCCACATAAAGAAGTTAATAATTTAGAAATGTTATGTAACTGTTTTGCATATTTTTAAATCCTTCAGTGGCTTAGAAAAACATGTAGAAGAGGTCGCAGTGAATAGTGAAAGGTATGTTCATCACCTGCGTGTGGGCGTACACACACACTTCAGAATTTTAATTTCTGATAATTAAAAGGTAGAAGTAATTTGTGTAAAAAATTCCTTAATAATTGAAATGGAGTTGATTGCAAGCGTTTGGTTAGCATGATAGAGCTTTCAGTATTGTATAGTAGCTAGCCATTAAAATATTTACTGTGTAACTTCAAACATAATGAAAAGGCATATCTCTTTTTTTATTCAGATGTTAAGTTGTATAGACTCATTTTCACCTTTTCCCATTTATGCACATTAACTGGACATGGTTGACAACACTGCTTCATTACATGGAGTATTAAGGCTTAACATACATGATTCTCATAGCTGCCTTCAAATAAAGCCATGACGTCCCGCTCAGTCTGAAGCTAAACTTTTGCCTAACTCACTGCTCTTAACTCTCTTTTGCCAGTTAGTACGCTGGCAGCACCACAAAAATGTGTCCTGTCTGCAGTTATGCTAAGAAGGTGCGCTACATATACCAGCTCACATTTTTTTTATATTC